AAATGTTCCCCCTGTGGCGAAAAGCGGGGGGGGTTTCCTCTCCCTCAGGGTAAGACCGAAAACCCCGGGAACAACGTTCCCTGCATAAATTGCTACCCGTGTCTCGCTTTTTGCCTGTCAAGTGTTCCTGTTTTGTGTCCTGTCCTGAATAAGAAGAGTGCCTTTTCCGAGGGGCAAATGGGGCTCGAAAAGGATTGATGTGTTCCAGGAAAAAGACCCCCTTTCCCAGAATTTTGGAGGTTCGACGGGGGAAATTAAATCAGGATTCAGCCGAAGACGCAGCAGCAAGTAAATTTTCCATTATACGGAATGATCAACATTTCCTTGAAATCCACTTGACACAGATAACGAGTCGTTTAGGACAAACTTGTCCCGTTCTTCTAGACTATCTAGAGAAACTGTTTTTTGCGTAATCCGGAAAATATTTCAGCGTGAATAGTGTTAGGATTGGATTTGAAGAAGGTTCAAAATATTTTTGAGTTGAAAACTAGATTTGGAATAAATTCAAACAACAATCAGCCGGGGTGCTTTACACCCTAGTGTAAGGTTGGTATATTTAGCAAGGTTCAAAATTTTGACAAACAGCAGATTGACAAGCAGCAGTCTTTCGCGTGAGACAAGCCCCAGAACAACTGATGATAAAGCAGAGAGTCTATCTAGTATTTAAACCCTTTTTGTTTTGAAAAATTTGTCCCTGAGCAGAATTATCCTTTCAACAAGATTTCCCCAAGAATTTGGATTCTTGTGGGAACTCAAGTTCAAACTCAGACTCACGGGATTCTGGACATGTTCAAGTCTCTAAAGTTTCAATTGCGCCAGTCTAATCTGTCTAAATACTTTGACATTCCCATTTTGATTTCCAACAAACAGGAATCTTCCGATTGACCTCATTTGAATTATTCAACAGAATATACATTTAATTATCACTGAAATCCAGTATGAATTCCTTCGCGAGAAGAAACTTTATCGCAGTTGATTTTCAGTGATTCAAATAATCTTGCCAATTATGTTTATAGTGATACATTTCCAGATAGTGAATGGGTTTCTGGTCAAAAAAAATAGAAATGCAGGATAAGATCCTCAAAATCGACATTCAATTTTTCAAGCATTTTTCTGTCCTGCTTCTTCGATTCCAAATGGTTTTTTAATAGTTTCGCAGTGTGAATTAAATTGGGGTTATTTTTGCACCCTCGGAAATTAATTTTGAGTAAATTGGCCATCTAATTTGATGTTATATCGGAAGCTAGACAAAATCGAGAGTGTATTGAAAATCCGAGAGATGCATAAGTTGTGATTCAGAAAATTTTGTTTTCCGTTTGGTGTCATGTTTTGGTTGACGTTTAATCTCGTCGTAGGTAAAAGAGCCTTGAGGGTTAATTTTGTTTTGTGTCTCGAGAATGAAAAAGCCAGAGATGCAGTATATAGTGAGAAAAGGAATATATTCCTTTGCCCTCCGCCGAAAATTAGTTCGTTTACGAGGAAAAATAAGAGTAAATCGTATAGAGCTCGGAAAACCTCTGGTATGGATTCCACATCGCTGATGCCAACCCACTGATGGGGGTTCTGCGTCTTTTCCCTCGGATCCCTCATCATACCTCTTTTTTTTCCCCGCCTTATATATATATTTTTTTTTTCTTCTCGCTCATTTTTCCTTTGACATTGCGTGGTTTTCTCTTGGGAATAAAATATTGAGCAGGAATCCCAGAGCAATTCCAGCCGCGACGCTCTGTCGACTGGAACCGACGCACGAGTCCTGGGACGCAATAACGACACTTCCGCTTTTTTTTTTCGTCCTTCCGGTTTCGGTTGGATGGGTTTCGGGTGGTGGGGGGGGGGGGGGGGAGTCCACGGCTTTAGCTGAGGTGAAGAGAGAAGTCGTCAAGTCCTTGGAAACTTTTTAAAGGAATCGTTGAACTTCAGTAGAGTTTCTGGCTTCTCTTTTTCTCTTCGGGAAACTTTTCGGATTCCTACATTTTTTGCGTTAAATTTTTTTTCTGATCTGTTTATCTCTCTCTCTCTCTCTTTCCCTCTTTCTGAAAACCATGATTATGAAGGGATCCGAAAATAAATCCATTTTGTGATATTTATACTTCCGGACTGGGCAGCAAAAATAAAGAGAAATATTCCGAAAACGACCGAAAAAAATTTCCAGATAATTTTTTCGCTTTTAACAGAAAGCAATATTTTTCCTGCAGTCACTTGATTTTTAGTCGACAAAAAGGTCTGCTAGAGCAATTAAACAAAATCGTCGCGTAAAAAAATATTTTATTGCTTTTATGAACCGGTGTACATAGAGAGTCTAAGTTTATTTTACTTTATTCTTTTGGAAAAAAGGATCAGTTTTCGACATGACAAAAATAAAATCTGCTGCGTAGAAAGCTGAAGAAAAAAAGAGAGAAATCGACGGCTTTTCAACAGCAGGTGCTGGATTTTTTTCTTTTCTCTTTTTTTTGTATTTCATTTTTTGGCATTGCATGTGACTGCCTCAAATACCGTCCTTTGTCCACCTTTTGGCATTGTTGCTCCGTGTGTATTATTGAGCACGCGAGATTCGAGCTCCTCAGAAATGTCTCGCCTCAGGGTTGTCAAATTCCTGCAAATCCCTTCTGTCAACAAGAGCCCGGAAACTAAATTCCGTTTTTCAACGAGTGATTCGGTGGAAATGTTTGCTTCGAACGGTGTTTAGTTGACAGAAGGCTTCTTAGTCGAGAATTAAGTATTTTTTAAGCGAGTCACTCAGTGGTGCAACATTTTGAATGGTTTCGCTGAAAAATTTACCGAAACAAGAATTTTTTATGGTAACTCAAGTATTGGATAAATGGCCATTTTTCAGGTTTTTCGAAATAGTTTTCAATGTTTAAAAAAGGAAATACGTTACATCTGGCGGCCAAATTTTAATTTTTCCAACTATAGAACATGAATCAGCTCATGAATTTGTGTCGAGAGCGATTTGGGAAATGACGTGCTAAGAATTAAATATTTTTGAAGATATATTTCGATCTAGAAATTGAAAAAAGCTTGATCTTGAATTGAGACAAGCTTTTCTTTTGTCGGTGAAATGTTTGCTTCAAGCCGATCTTCTATTTAGCCTTTCAATTTCTAAGCATGTTTCAATTTTCATGCTTTGAAAACAAATCCTGTGACACCATCTTAAAATATAACTGCTGGGTTGCAATTTCTGCTTTCGAAAAATTGAATCAATTCTTCCAAAAGAAGTGATTTAAAAAATGCAAATGCTTCATATTGCGTTTTTTCACGTCAATGCGGCCTTTATGCGAATATTCGTTCATCTTTTTCTAAAAAAAAAAAACACGAGTGCAAAAGAAAATTACAATTTAAATTTGATTTTTTAGATATGAAAAAAATTGAAATGCGTTTTTTAGAAATCAAAGTTCGTGTTGATTATTAGATTAGATATGTGACTCCGGTGTCGCGTTGACAGCAACAAAAAAAAAATGTGGCTGCGACATTGAAACAGTGTCGCGCGGAGTTCAGAGGCGTCCCTCATGTTTGTGCCGCCGCCGACGACGACGACGACGACGACGTCATCGTCTGCGTCGTCGTCGGCCATGACAGACGCCATGACCGACGACAGCGGCGTCAGCACCGCCAGTACAAACAACAACATCCACAACAGCAACATCAACAATAATATCACGACAAGCAGCAGCAGAGTCCGGTGTATTGTTGTTGGTGGCACCAAGTTTTTTTATGGCGAGGATTACTTGAGGACTGCCTTGGGCGAAATTCCCCAGCCTGATGAAAGTCTGGTCTTTGGTGCCTGTGGACCTTGTGATAAACTGGCCAATAAAAAGGCCCGACCGGTACTGCAATTATGATTTTTTTATTCATTTTTTGACGTCGTGATTTCTTTTTATGAATTTTGATTTGAAAAACGAGCGTCAAGAGATAGACTCAGAAATGTTCCGGAAGAACATTGGAGTGTTCATCAAGGAAGGGTTATTTTTCTAAAGAATCAGTTTCTTNAATACCGTCCTTTGTCCACCTTTTGGCATTGTTGCTCCGTGTGTATTATTGAGCACGCGAGATTCGAGCTCCTCAGAAATGTCTCGCCTCAGGGTTGTCAAATTCCTGCAAATCCCTTCTGTCAACATGAGCCCGGAAACGAAATTCCGTTTTTCAACGAGTGATTCGGTGGAAATGTTTGCTTCGAACGGTGTTTAGTTGACAGAAGGCTTCTTAGTCGAGAATTCAGTTTTTTTAAGCGAGTCACTCAGTGGTGCAACATTTTGAATAGTATTGTTGAAAAGTTTTCCGAAATAAGTATTTTTTATGGGAACTCAAGTGTTGGATAAATGGCCATTCTTTCAGGTTTTTGGAAATGCCGTTGGCTTAATTTCGAAAACGTTTTCAATGCTTAGGAAATCCTTTGGATCTTGCAGCCAAAATTTAATTTCACGTGAATCAGCGTTTGAATTTTTGTCAAGAACGCTTTGGTAAATGGAATAACAAAAATTTTGAAGATATATTTTTACTTTTAAAAAATCTTGATCTTGAATTGAGACAAGCTTTTCCTTTGTCGGTGAAATGTTTGCTTCAAGCCGATCTTCAATTCAGCCTTTCAATTTCTAAGCATGTCTTTATTTCTCATGCTTTGAAAACAAATCCTTTGACACCATCTTAAAAGATAACTGTTGGTTGCAATTTCTGCTTTCGAAAAATTGAATCAATTCTTCCAAAAGAAGTGATTGAAAAAATTCAAATGCTTCATGTTGCGTTTTTTCACGTCACTGCGGCTTTTATACGAATATTCGCTCATCTTTTTCTAAAAAACAAAATCAGACGAGTGCAAAAGAAAATTAAAATTAAAACTTTCTTGTTTTTAGAAATTAAAAAAATTGAAATGCGTTTTTTAGAAATCAAAGTTCGTGTTGATTATTAGATTAGATATGTGACTCCGGTGTCGCGTTGACAGCAACAAAAAAAAAATGTGGCTGCGACATTGAAACAGTGTCGCGCGGAGTTCAGAGGCGTCCCTCATGTTTGTGCCGCCGCCGACGACGACGACGACGACGACGTCATCGTCTGCGTCGTCGTCGGCCATGACAGACGCCATGACCGACGACAGCGGCGTCAGCACCGCCAGCACAAACAACAACATCCACAACAGCAACATCAACAATAATATCACGACAAGCAGCAGCAGAGTCCGGTGTATTGTTGTTGGTGGCACCAAGTTTTTTTATGGCGAGGATTACTTGAGGACTGCCTTGGGCGAAATTCCGCAGCCTGATGAAAGTCTGGTCTTTGGTGCCTGTGGACCTTGTGATAAACTGGCCAATAAAAAGGCCCGGCCGGTACTGAAATTATAATTTTTTTATTCGTTTTTTCGACGTCGTGATTTCTTTTTATGAATTTTGATTTGAAAAACGAGCGTCAAGAGATAGACTCAGAAATGTTCCGGAAGAACATTAGAGTGTTCATCAAGGAAGGGTTATTTTTTTAAAGAATCAGTTTCTTCTGAATAGTTTTCTAATTGAATTTTCATTTCATGGTTTTTAAGAAAAAAACCTCCGATATGGAGCATTTTTCGTTCTTTATATCCATTTCAATTTTATCTAAAAAAAAAAAAAAAAAGAACGTGCGACAGGGAATTGACCCATACATGCATTAGGAGAAAATTGGAGTGTTCATTGAAAACTGGTTCTTTTTATTTGAAGGGAATCTATTTTGTCTGGATTATGAATAATTTTTAAATTCAAATTTCACGCCGTAGTTTTTATAAATCAAAAAGGCAACTTGAAAAGTATTTTTCGTTCTTTGTCTATTTTTTTTCTCGAAACATTTGACAGAGGGAATTGACTCAGAAATGCATTAGGAGAAAATTAAAGTTTTCATCGAAAAAGAGGTCTTTTTTTCTTTGAAAAAATCTGCAAGCTGAAGTGAGATTTTCGGTCGATTTTCACTTTCGATAATAATTTGATCGAAAATTTCGGAATCAGCAGTATTTTACGTGATGTTATTTCCGGTATTATCTTTGAAAGCTATTCCCTTGAAGTAAGATTTCCCGGATAGTTTGGCTTTCAAGGATAAATTGATCGACATTTTTGAAATCATCAATATTTTACGTGATTTAATTTCCGTTATTCTCTTCGAAATCTATTAGTTTGAAGTGAGATTTCCGGGCGCTTCATTTCGGAATTCCCAAGGGGAAATCGTCAACGCGTTCAATGTTCCAGAGGACATTCCACGTAATTCAATAGATTTCCTTCCGCAAACATTCCCAGGATAGCCGTATATATGTGTATATATACAGTATTTGCAATCCCTTGTGCCATTCAAGAATTCCCTTGCTAATTTAAACAAAAGCCCCCTGGCTGGTCCCACTGGCTTGAATCACTGGAAGTAACCTTCGTGTAGTATTGAACAAACAAGGCATGAAATTGCACCGTTCGTGACACCAGGGAACATCTGTGTGACAAGGTTTTCACTAACACCGCCTTTCGTGAATGTTGGAGGGGAATTGTATGGGACACGAAGGTCCTGCGAAGAAAGAATGGCCTCTGGTGTCTGCTTTCAAACTTGAGTCTAAGTTTGTTGTTGACGCGTGAGACAGGTGTCACTTGAATCGATTACTGATCTCACGCTCTGGAGACGCTGGAATATTATTTTATTGATCGAGAGGGAAATTCATGAAGGAATATGAAATACACATTAATCAAGCACGAATATTTTATTCATGTAAAGGTTTCCAACTTTTGTAATGACTAAATTTTGTTGGGGGTTTCATGACTCAGATTGTCATTTGTGTTCGTAAATATTTTTGTTCTCTCGTTGCTTCCGCTTGCTGACGAATGCTTGAAAAGCATTTGACATAATACTCTGGTTACTTGGCCCATCCTAGGCTTTATGAAATGTTGAAAAGTTTCAGCATCACCTATTTGATAAATAAAAAAAGAATCTCGTGGAGTCGGGGACATTGGATGTGAAGATGAAAAGGATGAAACATAAGTTTGGAAGTCGTGCTGCTGTTTTGGTGTCACCTTTCACGAGAGTTTCTCAAATTTACCCCCAGGTCGTGTCAGGTTCTGTTCTTCTGTCCGTCTGTTCAGATTAATATCTACACAGTTTATAGGGCTCGAATATTATTTTTACAAAATTTATAAGTACAGGTTGGCAGTTTGATTAAGAAAGTCTTTTCGAAATTTTTCAAGCATCGAAGGAGGTGTATATAAAAATATTTAGATTTTGAGAGACATAAACAGTGTTCGTTGATCAAAATAAGGCTTTCCTTCCTAAAAATTGCATGATTTACCGTTTAAAATTCTTCGACAAAGCTTATCCCGGACCCAGAAAATTTTTTCCACAATTCAGGACGACACCTAGGTAATGGCCTGGTGATGAAAAAAAATTTCCTGTGGTCGAGGACATCGAACGTGACTCTGGATATTACGAAATTAATTTTGAAGACTTCCTGCTTTTAAAAAATTAAAGTGGAACCCAAAAGGATTCCAATTTTTGAGTTTTGAGCTTTCACAGGAGGTCCCAAAAATCTCCTCAAGGTTGTGCCCAAATTTTAAATATTCCGTTAGTTCAGATTAATATTTATACATCAAAGCCTTCATCGAGAGTCTTAGTTTTTGGTAATTATATACAGTATAATAAGAGTTTCTTTTTTTAGAGACGTCACGCAATTTTTTCGAGCATCGAGAGAGGGGAAATTTTGGCTATTTTTGATGTAGTCGAGGAAAAGCAGGAGGTTTTCATGACTGAAAATTGCTTGCGGTTGAACCCCTTATTTCCTTATCGAGCTCTCAACGTTCAGAAAAATCTTCCCAAAATTTCTGACTTGATAAAACGTGAAATACAAGAGAAGGAATCAACAGCCGAATGAAAATTTTCCGAAATCCAGGTGACACTTATTAAATGTTAAAAAATCGTTTTTTTTTCAGAGGCGTTGAATGCAAAGATATGAAAAATACGACTCGATACATAATCTCTTCGATCTCCCACGTTCAAAAAAATTCTTCTCAAAATTTCTGACGCAACAAAACCTTAAACATAACTTAACAGCAGTTGAATAAAAATATTCAAAAAATACAGGTGACAACTCAAGCTCTGACAAATGAATTACCGTTTTGTCAGAGGCGTTAGATGCAAAGATATGAAAAATGTGACTCACTTCATGATCTCATCGATCTTCCATCACCTTCAACAAACAAACAAATTCTTGCAAAATTTCTGGCATGCCAAAACCATAAAGACAACTCATCAGAATCGGAATGAAATGTTCCAAAGCCCAGATGACACCCAAAAAAAAATTCCTGCTGTTTGTCAGCTGAGGCACGACATGCGAGAACATGAAAAATATGACTCCCTGGTTTTATACTGACGCCTAGCAAAAAAAATAGAGGATCCTTTTTTTCGCGGGTTTCATCTTTTCCTCGAGAAATTCTCAAATTCACCTCTCGTCGTGTGCTGTTGTGTCTCTGTTGTTTCCAGATATCGGATGACGAGCGGATGTCCTTGACAACAGCCATCAGCGACGAAGAGGACCTGGACAGTGCGCACAACTCTCCTTACCATCAGCACCACAGGGCCAGTGGCGGCGGCGGTGGTGGTGGTGGTGGCAGTGGTGGTGGTGGTGGTGGCAGTGGACGATCAAGCAGAGCCGGGGTTGCCAAAGCCGCATCATCATCCACTGCTGCATCTGCTGCCTCCTTCAACTGCACCGGGGCTGTCAGGAAAGCCGGGTAATCACTGCATCCAGACTCATTAAGAAAATATCTCGGGATCCCGTTTCCGACCAACCAACCCCCCTCTCCTTTGTATATACCTCCCTTTTTGCCACACACACACAGAGGGAGAGCCTGTGTTTCTTGCTGACCTCTCTGTCTTTCTTTCCACTCTCTGGAACCCAGGGATGCCCTGTTGGGGTTTTCTCTCGCTTGATGCTCAATCCCCAATGCATTTACCCCTCGGGGGAGGGGGGGGGGTGTTTCTGAAAGTCTGGAGAAACGTATTACGAAGCTGTCAGTGCTGGGAGTTGGTTGACGTATATAGTACAGTACCTGTAATTGCTCAGCAAATTCTCGTTTATCTTGGAAAGTCAAAAGTATCATTATCCCGTCTTGTCAAAAATAACGCGGGGGAGAGTAGAGAAGTTTGCAATTTAGTCTCTGGCGCCGCCGATACAGGATTTATAGAAAAATAGCTTAATTTTTCAAGGTTTTTTTTTTTTTTGAGTCGTGAGTCAGTAGAATAAATTTTCAGTGCCTAAAATTCTGAAGCTATGAGGCAGTGTTGAAATTTCAGATTTTTTATTTGTGTTGTTTTCGGACTTTTTAAAAGGTAAATGGTCATAAAAGTTTCTAGAACATGAATTTTAGTTTCCAGCTACATTTTTTTCCAGCAACTAATTTTTGCCGTTTTTTTTTTTAAACTCATCTTCTAACGAGAAGGTTATTTAAAACAACGGCGGAATTTCTGAATTTGTGTCTCATTTTTTCATGGCTGTCATATCGATTCTTTCATAAACACTTGAATCATAAAAATTTTAATTATGGAGCATTTTTTCAGAGATTTTCTTGATGAAAAATACCTAAAAAAAAAGCAAAACTCGGATGAGAATGTGATTGCAGTTGGCCAGATGAGAAATGTTTGTGCACTTTTTAGAAAAGTATCTGGAGAATAATTATTCAGAGCAAATTCTAGTATAATTGTCATAAAATCGTTTTTCTTCTTCGATATCACCTTTTAGTTGCTCTGAATAAATTATTCATATTATTCATGGTCGTCTCTCAAATAATTTCTTATTGCTTTTCAACACCTTAAGAGGTGGGAACATTTTCAATAACAGAATAAATGAAGTAGAATCTTCCGAAAACTTGATAGAAAATTGCCTTTCTAATTTAATAAGCTTAAATGAGACTCTTGTGAATTTTTGGCTGAGTAGCAGGAGCCTGAAAGAATAATTTCCTATATAAACCAGGATTTATCACACACACAAAATATTACACAGCAAATTCAAATTGAACACTATCTTCCATCCTGCTCTTGCGACTAAAATTTCATTCGTAAACTTTCCGGAAACCCCCTCTTTGCGTATTCCTCCTGGAATAATCTGGATAAAGCAGAGCCTTTGATGCATTACCATGATCTGATTTTTCCTGCATTCCAAAAACACGAAAATCACATCACCCTTCTCGCTTGAAGTACTGCACCTGAGGAATTCCTGTAATCGCACTTCAAAGGCATTTTCCTGCAAGTAATTGATCCCTTGTGAAGAAAAGCCTCGTGCAGACAAGACTCATGAGTATGTTTTCGTGATGGTAGCTTGATTTTCTTATTACATTATTCATGTCTTATGGTCCTACGACCCCTTTGAGATATAAAACGGGGGCCTTTTATATATGCCCCGGAAGCCTCATAGACGAAAATCCCTCACTTAATTAAGACCTTTGCCCGAGTGTTCCGCATCAGTCTAATTGAAATTGTGGTCTTCGTACGAGTGCTTATCTTTTCTTTGTGTTTACCGAGGAGTGTTTTCCATGACCTCTAACTGGGTATAATGTGAAGGGGTCTTGTAGAAAGTTCTGTGAATGATTTGCTTCTTTGGGATGATGGTTAATTTCTGGGCAATTTTTTTTCCTGAGAAAAGTTAATGATCTTCAAGCAGCGAAATAATATTCACGATCAGAAATTACGAGGGTTGGTTCATACCAGTTTTTGAGACTTTTTGAAATAGATCCAACTTAGTTTGAAAAATTGTAAATTACTTTTTTTATTTGCATAATGGCCCCATCATTTGGCAAAACTTCAGTGCTGTTCAACATAATCTTTTCCAATTTTAATGCATTCTTTCATGCGATGAATCCAACGATCGAAACAGTGCCAAAAAATGAACTCGATTTTCGGCACTTTTTTGATTGTTGAATTTTATCGCATGGAAAAATGCATTGAAATCGGCGGAAAGTATGTTGAATAGTATTGACGTGTTGCTGAATGATGGAGCTTACTTTTTTTCATTTGTTGAAACTTCGTTCGATCTATTTCAAAAAGTCTCAAAACTTTTGAACCAACCCTTGTATTTTGGAAGCCTTCATTATAAGTGAGGAAATCCTTTTATTTTCTAGAATGTAGGAAAATTAGCTGAAAATGTTTCCCAGAATTTTTCTAATAGAGTACTTTATCAGATCTCGGATGTCTTTGTCAACTCCTGGATCATCCACAGACGCCAATTTTCATACTTCTCCATTTTGGCTATATTATTTTGACGTTAATTTTAACTGAAGCATTTTCCAAGACAAAAGATTAAAATTGTTATATAATTTGTTTGCTGATGAAAGACCGTGTTTTTGCTTATATAAAAGTGAAGTTAGATTGAAAAAAAAGGCGCAGAACGCAACAAAAAAAAAACTGTGCAGCAAGTTGAGAATATTTTACCACGATTCAAAATTTTTAAAAGATTTTATTCAATTTCCAAAGAAACATCAACTTATATGGTGGTTCGGAGATTATAAGTTTCACATTTCTTCAACATTAAATTTTTTTGAATACAGGAGAAAGATGACTCGTGATTATTCACCGTTTTTGCCCAACTCATCTTGACATTCATTCATGCAACATTAAATTGTTTTATTATATTAATCACCTAAAGTTGTGATATGCTGATTGACTAGGAAAATGACATCATCCCGTTTTAGAATTGAAATACCAAGCACTTTCCAAATTATGAAATCAGGAAGGGGAAAATGGGGATCAAAGCCTTCGAAGGCCTTTTGGGGGTTTTCCCGAAATTTTTCAATTTAAATGCGTAAATTAATGAGATTAACAATATTTTGGGAATAATTCATCAAGCATAGAAGTATACTTATTTTCTCTTATTCAAGTGCGGGTTTTAAGGGATTTTTAAGAAGAGTTTTTCAGGGTTTATTGATTTGTTTCTGGGAATGAGTTGTGGTTTTCCAGGGTTGCACGAGGCATTTCAGAAAACCCCTTGTAAAGAGATTTATTTCTACTTGAGAACAAAAGGTTGGGGGGTAAACAAAAGGAATATGGAAGTGCTCGGGGGTTTATTTTTATCATTCAGTCACAGGAGCGGGGAAAATGAGGAACAAGACCGTCAATTGGATCTGATAGTGCAGAAAAGACTCTTTATCCTTCTTTTCCAAAGAGAATAAGGTTTGCCAAAAGTCATCATGGTTTAAGAGATTCTTTTCCACCCTTTTGGGTATAGTTTACTGATGCGATTCCCCCCGAGTGAAAGACTTGAGTGTGCTCCAATTGCATCTATTTGCAGTGGAACAACGGAAGGAAAATCTCCTGGGGGTAACAGTAAATTTATTCCGGGCTCTTGTGAACTTTGCCTGAGGTCAGGCTCATTTTCTGCGAAACTTTGTCTCCCGGGTTTCATGCTCAGAATTCCAGAGTAGCTAGATTACTGCGACTGGGGTTTCTTCATCCTACAATAAAAAAGTTGCATCTTCTTTTTTTTACAATTTTTTGTTCCAGTCGGGAAGAAGCCTTTTTCTGCGTTTAAATTCAGGCTGGAGGTAACTTGATAAAGGGCGAATCTCATTACAAAGAACTTCTGAGGAGGACCCAAAATAATTTTTTATAGCAAAAAAAATGGTAATTTTCGTATCCTGAGTAAATAATATTGTAGTAATTTTCTGAAATAAGAGATAAACCTGATTCCTTCCTTCAAACCTGACTTTCTTTTCCTGGGAAAACCTTATTTTTTCATCAACCCTGATTTTTTCTCCTGGGAAAAGCTAATTTTTTCTTCATACCAGATATTTTATGAACAAATCAACATATTGTTGTACTCCGATGTTCGAATGATATTTGAAAACTTGTCGCCTCAAAAGTCAAATATTTTAAAAGCTGTCAACTTTTCAATGATTTTCCTGAAATGTGGTCAACTTGAACTCTTATTAAAATGCTCTTTTTCTGTTGAAGCTTCTAAAGCAAAATATAAAAATTGAATTCTTTGCTGCATTAACGCATTGAATAATTGCTTCGGAATTTAATCAAACAAACAGTTTGTGGCATTATTGTAAATAGGAGGAATAGTTTGAATTATTTAAAAAATAAATGATTTTCTTGATGACACGTTAACAAATAGCGTATTCCACCAGAATACAGCATTCTTTGATCCATAGGAGTGCAGGAACAAAATGTCTCAAGTGAAAAAAATGTATTCCCAATAAAGGTTTGAGGAAAACAACGGAAGATTAAGTAAAAATGCATCTAGACGCATCAATTGTTGAAATGTTGCTACAAGAATATTTATTTAGCTTTGCCTCTATGAGTTTTCGCTGGGACCTTGAAAAATTCTTTAAAAATGTCATTTGAGATGCATAAGTTAACTTTGGATTGATTCTGGCTTGAAAGTCCTTGAAAATCAAACGTGAAAATTTCTCTATTTCTTTCTCTCTTTTTTTTTTAGTCTGTGATGGATTACATGTGACAAAAGCTTTTTCTCAGAAAATAAGTGATCCATGGAGTTTACTGTAAAATTCCCATTCGAAAAAAGTAGTTTTATTCTGTGAAAAAAGAGGTTTGCTGGTGCCCGCTGTGGCCTTGAGGCGCATAAAATATTCAAGTAGACGATGGAATTGGTTTGTGGAGAAGTACTTAGAAAGTACGGACCTTTTTTTTTCATGCAGGGAGATGAATTTCAAATTACGTTCTAGTCTCGAGATTTGCTTCACAAATCGGTGTCTTGGAGAGAGCTGGGGAAGTATTTTCATGCGGAAAACCTTTGAGTGGTGAATACATTTCAGTATTTGAAGGCATTTTATTTCCATCAAGAGAAACTGTGTCAAAACTTTTCCTCCTTCTCTCCTTTCATTAAAAACAGAGTAACTGTGGAAAGGGTGGAGAATATTGAACGACGAGCATACTTCATGCGAAAGACCTTCATTTGGATATTCCTTTTTGCTGATTTTTGTCTGTCTGGCAATGCTGCGATATAATTTTTTGCAAAAATTTCATTGTTCAGAAAACATAATTCTATTGTATGATACTTTCATAGAAAATTTGGAGGCATAGAATTTGGAGACTCCAAATTTTGTATTGCGTCAACGTCTCCAGAAAAATGTTCTCCAATGGAAATTTGCTCAAAAATCATGTTTTCAGCAAAAAGTTATTCCTTTTTTCATCTTGCAAAATATTTAAAGTTGGCTATTGTTTATTTTACTTTAAGAACTTCTAAAGTGAATTTGCCTTTATTTAATCCTGAAACAATTTTTGGCTGGGAAATTTGATGTTCTGCGAAAATCAATGCACTTCTGTTGTTTGAAGCGCTTCAACTGTGCCATTTTGAAATGAAAAAAATTAGAGATGAGCATTTCATTAGAAAGACCCAAATTATCGACCAATTATGCACCAACCTCTATTCGTGGGTTCTTCTTGGGTAAAAGACAAGAAACCCTTGAAGAAAATTTCAGCAACCCTTTATTTTTGGTTTCCCTCTGAAAAAAAAAACAGGTTCTTGAGTGTGAAGAAGTGGCTGTTGAGGAAGAAGCACCAGGTTGAACTGGCCAGGAAGCGGGGCTGGAAGGGGTACTGGGTGTGCCTCAAGGGCACGACCCTCCTTTTCTACCCGTGTGACTCCAGAGAGGGACGCAGTGTGGAACAGGCCCCCAGGCACTTGATCATTGTGGATGGCGCCATCTTGCAGCCCATTCCTGAGCATCCAAAGAGGGACTACATTTTCTGCCTCTCCACTGCTTTTGGGGATGCCTACCTCTTCCAGGTAAAATTGGGACATCATTTTTGCCCTTCTTGAGACTAATGACCCCTGATGAGGAGTATTGTATTTGAAAAAGTTCCACACTTTTGTATGGTAATTAAAATTTAATTGCCCGATTAAAATTGCGATTTATCAGGAAAAGTGTTGAACAGTGGCAATTCTACAAAATTATGATTCCCTATATTTGCAATTTCAGTAATTCTTCAAAAATGCTTGCCCAATCAGGGTTACAATTGCAAACCCACTTTAATCCCATTTGTTCCATCATAGATTATTGCCAGTAATTCCTCAATTCATCTCATCTATCCTGTCTTCTATAAAAATATATTTTTTCAAGTGGGTGTAAATAGTGCATGCAAAAATTGTTTCGTGTTAACAATATTTCTGCATCATAAACAAAATAAATCTTGATTTTTACCCTTTTATTTCCCCAATTAAAATTCAGGCCTGAAAAAAACATATGAATTTTTTTTATTTACATTGCCTCCTGTAAAAAATTTAGCTTGTTTGTGCATGGGATTTCATTCATCATCAGAATTTTTGTTGTACAGTATTTACTGTGGTAAAGGTTTAAATACTGTAATGGATTATTCTTGATAAACACTAGATGTTTCTCTCGACAACGATTTTCTCTGTATAACGATTTTTCACCATAGCTTTCTGGGTCTTTGTATTGAAGTTCTCTGCAAACCGTTTTTTATTTTCCCCTGAATTTTGTCGAAGAGGGAACCTGTAATATTTTATTTGACACGATGCGCTTCAAAATTTACTCGTAGGTGAGCACAATTATGTAAGGTGATGCATTTTATTTATTGAGAATCTTCCTGCAGTATATTTTCTGAAAAAAACAAATGTCTTCCAATTCTTTCAGTAGCCTCATTAAAAATGCGTGGAGCATTAGAATATAAAGTGAGGAGATAAAAACGATACACTTTCAAGTCTTTGGCGGATATTTTATTAAATTGTTCATGTGAAATGAAGGTGTTTAGTTCGAAACACAAGTTTTCTTGAGCGTTCTTCAGTCCCCTTTTTTGTCGAGAATAGTGACTTTTTCCGAACACGGTATTCGATGCGAATGATCTGGACATGTTCCAATTGCAGCAAAGCCGGCAAAATATAAAAAAAAAAAAAGACGAAGCATTGGTTCTGAATAATGTGGGCCTTTTCAGGTACCAAGGGTGCCTGTGGGGTATATCCGACGGGATGTCAAGCATGAAATGGAAAACCCTTTGTGAACATTGTTTTGCTTGTTATCCCCCCCCCCTTTTTTTTTTACCCGGGTTCCTCGACAGGCTCCATGCCAGGTCGAGCTGGAGAATTGGGTCAACAGCATTCATGGTGCTTGCGCAGCTGCCTTTGCCAGGCACAGGGGCAAAACTGGCACACTTCATTTGCTCCAGGAAGAGATCCTGCGTCTGGAGAAGTCTATTGAGTCTGTGAGTTCCTGTCATCCTTTCTAGAAAAGGCATGCTATTTATTTTTTTTTTTTAGGAAGCGTTTTCAAGAAGTTGGGTTCACCAGTCTAGCTCGTGTATAAGAGGCTGCTCAGCAGAGAGGAAGAGGGGTGGCTCAAAAGTTCTCTGCAAAAAGCATCTCTGGCTTTTGTAGAGAGCTTTTGGGTGTATGAAACAGGATTTTTCCTTCAAGATGACATTCTGTAGAATTTAATTCAATTATTTTTGATATTTTTTACAAATAATTTCCTCTGAAGGAAAATGTGGTGGAAGCTCTTCTCTTTTAAAAAAGGCCAGCTGCTTTTTTGGAAACGTTTTTTAGAACCTTGATTCTTGAGTCTTTCTCAGGAGACTGCTCAGAGATTGAGAGAGGTGGCTCAAAAGTTCTCTTCAAAATACCTCCGTGAATTTAAAAAAAAGTTTTTTTACATTGTATCCCCTCAAGATGTCATTCTATAGAATTTAATTCACTTAATTTGACATTTTTGAAAAGTATTCCTTTGAAGGAAATATGTTGAATGCTCTTATATTTTATAAAGGCCTGATTTTTTTCTTGTAAACGATTTATAGAACTTGGAACCTCAGCTTTCCTTTTAGGAGGCTGTTCAAAGAATAAGAGGGGCAGTAAAAAAGTTATTTTCAAACTGCATCGCTGGATTTTGAAGAGAGCGTTTTATGAGATATGAGACATAATTTACCCTCAAGATGACATTCTGTAGAGATTTGCTTCAATTAATTTTACATTAAAAAATGAATGATTTTCTCTTTTAGAAAGTCCTGGTTTTTTCCTTGAAAATTATTTCTAGAACTTGGTTCCTCAGTCTTACTTATATGAGAGTCTGCTCAGAGAATAAGAGGGGTGGCTCAAAATTTGTCTTCAAAATGCATCCCTTGCTTTTTAAAAGGAAGTTTTTGTTGGACTAAAAATGGTTTACCCTCAGCAAGATGACATGCTGTAGAAATATACTTCAATTATTTTGACATTTAAAAAAAAGGAATGCTTTTCTCTTTTAGATAGTCCTTGTTTTTTCCTTGAAAACGTTTTCTAGAACTTGGTTCCTCATTCTTACTCATATATGAGTCTGCTCAGAGAATAAGAGGGGTGTCTCAAAAGTTGTCTTCAAAATGCATCCCTTGCTTTTTAAGAGGCAGTTTTTGTTTGACTAAAAATGGTTTCCCCTCAAGATGACATTCTGTAGAATTTTAATCAAACTTTTGAAACAGCCCTTGCGCTGTATCTTGTTCATGTCTTTGCTTTCTGTAGAGATGAATACCCCCCAGAGGAAGTGCCTCAAGATTAATGTTGTGTGTGAGAAGACGGATGAACTTTTGTCACCAACCACATTTCTTATTAGTTCAGGATCCTCTTCTTCACCCATGCCCTTCATGTTTTGAGGGGTTGATCTTTTGAATGATTAATGAACAGTGACTCGAAAGCAGCCTCTTTTTTGCACTGTATTCAAAGGTCTTCATCAATTTTGAAATACGCGTTTTCCTCAGGACTTGAAGCTGAAGCACATGGCGGAACTGCAGTTGTCAGTTGTGAGTGAAGCTGATAGCAAGCAGCAAATTGGAGACCAGATTTCTAAATGGGAGGAAAATCTGGAAAGGCTGAGGACTGAGCAATTCAGGCTCAAATGCTACATGACTTCTCTACAGGGCAATGAGTTGCCAAATCCCAAGGTGAATTTTTTCCTTCATACAAAATTTAAAATATTATTACATGAAAATCTCTTTACAATGAAGCCATTGTCACCTGAGACAAAAACTTCGTTATGAACATTTTAAAACCAAAATATGACAAGAAGCAGTGCCACTATTAGGCAGGGACCAAGAAGCAATTTGCTGAAAACAACAACTTTTTTATAAATATACTGTATGTCTTTTAATGAAATTATACTGTTTTATGAGTCCCAGGTAAATAATTCAAGAGGTACTGTACTGTACTTTTCCATATTTTTAATGATGATAAATATATTCAAGCGCTGGAAAAGATGAGGAATTTATGTTTGGAAATCTTTTTAAAAACCTTTTGGTTTAGCAGCTCTGATCTGGTGCTCCGCGGAGCCCTTGGAGTCCCATGATGTACCAAGGATTTTCAGATTTTTAAAAAATTGAACAAAAATTGGAATGCAATGAAATGCCGGTGGATTCTCTCCACAATGATCTTGTCTACAACAATTATTTTTACAACAAATTCAATTTTAAAATTAATGGGACCAGAAAAAATTCGTTGTGGAGATAACTTCTTTGTAGAGAGTTCACCTGTGATCAGCTAAAAAAATATAGTTATCTTAGAGTTTCCTTGACCTGAAGTGGAGATTTAAAAGTTTAATCCCTGAGGGGCTCCGCGCTGAAATAAATCTCGAAAAGGGAGTCGCCTCGTCAGAAAAAGGTTTAGAATGTCTGCATATTTTTTTTTTTCATTTCTCCCCATGGATTGATTTCAATGTTTTTAACTTTTTTTTCGCACAGGGCCTTCTAACATACGTGTCGAGGAATACGAAGGCGACTTTGAACCGTTTAGGAGTGTTCACAGTGTCGTCGTTGCATGCGTACATTTGCGCCAGGAGCCCGTCGTTGTTGAGCAATTTGTTGGCGGGACGCGGCGCCACAAAACGCCGCCCCCCGAATGCTCTGTCGCGCTCTGACTCAGCTTCCAGCCGCAAGTCGATGCAAATGGCCGCCGCCTCTGCCAGCGACTCTGGAAAGGCCTATACTGTGTCCATGCCTGAAGACCAGGTAATTTGAGGGTCAAGGGGTTTCATATGGGCTGAAAAATTCTTCACAATATTATTTTTTGAACTTTCCGAGGTACCCCACCGTAAAATTGGCTTCAAAGTTTTAAAATAATCGCGCTGCGCATTATATGTAGCAGAATCTCGTTACAACGAAGCGCTTGTACAGCTTCGTTATGAACAAAAATTCGTTATAAGCAATTATCACTCGTATAATGACGAGATTCTGCTATATTTTATTGAGCTTTAGTTATTGATTGCTTCTTGTCAGAAAAAAAAATCTTCGGAATTGAAACTTGCATTTAGAATTCTAGAAAAGGCATTATTCTCACGTCATTTTGAACTTATTGAAGAGAGAAAGAATTCAAATTCGCAACTATATCATAAATGATCGAGGAAATTGCGCTGTTATCTGAAGCGAGTGTCGAATCAAAAGGGCATTTTCCAATTCTGCGATTTTTTCCCTATAATTTGAGTAAATTTTTATTTTCGGGGCAATTTTTTTTCTTTTGGTGCTTTTTATATTTTCGTGAATGTGGCACTTCGATCTATGTTGTAAAACTTCGCCAATTTTTACTAAGCATAACAGTAATGAAAATTGGAGGCTTTTGGAAAATTGAGGAAAATTAAGAAAATACTGCGCTGAGATTGAAAAGCCGAAATACAGTAACTATCCTGGATATTCAGCTTATTTTTTTGAAAATTGGCAAGAAATTCGGCACGATTTTAATTTGGAAGTGGGTTTTATGAACTGATTTATCATGAGGGAGGGATTTAAGAGACTAAAAGTTTACTTCGGACGATTGTTCTGAGATAGATTTCTTCTACTATAATTTGTCAATTGTGTATTTCTTTGTTTTTAGGCGGTGACAGTGCATTTGAGGGACGGAATGACTGTGGAGGAATTTATTGTCAGTGCTTGTACCAAGAAAGGATTGAGTCCACAGGAGCATTTTTTAAGGGTCAAAAAGCGCAAAACGATGGAGGACCACAATTTCTTCGTGCCGCATCGGTCCGACCAGATCGAAAATTATGTGAGTAATTTCACGTATTCAATTCTGAAGTGAGGCGTGACATTTTATCAAATATATACGTTGAGCGAGTTTCTGTGTATGTGTGGAAAAGGCTGAAGTACTCATCATGTGAAGATTCAGCGGATTTCCCGGGAAATCGCTAAAGTACTTTTAAATCATTAAAGAGGAGTACCTTATATTTATTAACGGAGCTGCTGGTGCCCTTTGCCATTTTCTAGGGCGGAAAATTTCTCTAGAGAAGGTTTTTAGACATGCCAGATGTGTCTGGAAATTCGAGGCGTTGAGTGGACTGAACTGGGTGAACTTAAGCAAAAAATTTACGAGATTGACAGGCTTGACTTATTGAGAAAGTTGGCCTTATACCATTGACCTTTCCCTGGCGAGGCTTATTATTCAGAAACTTTTAGCTCAGCATTATGTAAAACCCCAAGTTTCCAGAGCCGTGAAAAATTTTTTGCTGCTTTTTGGCTCATGTATGAATTTCCCAAAAATGTGGATCCTTCGAAGAAATAAAAATGTGGTTTGGTAACTTCGACATAGTTGTCAAAAGAAGAAATGAAGCCTTTCAAGAAATTATATTTCATTTTAATGAATACGATATTGTAATGCCAAATTTTAGAAAATAAATACGAATGAAAATGAATACGATATGATTCTATGGGATGTACATCTTGGTGCAATTTTAAATTTATTTGAATTGCATTCAGATTTGATCGACCGTTGATTCATCAGTGGAAAATCCATCAAACTTAAAATAACTTCTCCTTGACATTTTGTAAATTTTTTATGAATGCCTGCTGCTGATCACTTTTCCTGAATAAACTCAGTCACAGACTCCAAAGCGAATTATATTTTATTTTTGAAGTTATTTATTATTGCAGAAATATTCAGTAATATTTCCAGAATAAATAAATAATTTAAAATCATTTCAGGATAAGAAATATCTCAATCACAATAATTCCAAATTTTAGCTGAGGCATCAGGAATCAAATATATACAAACTATATCATACGTGAATTCATCAGTGCGCTTTCTATCAAATTTTCAGTGATCTTTAATGTTTTTTGCTTCATAAATATTTTACGAATGCCCTCTGCTGATCAATTGTCACTGAATAAGTGTAACCTCACTCACAAAAAACAAGCGAATTAATCAACTAATATTCTAGAATTATTCAGTAACATCTACATATATGGTCCAAAATTAGTTGCAATTGTCAAAAAAATGTGTCGAAGGTATTAAAAATCATACATGATCAGGATATTTAATATCATTATTACCATTAAAATAATGTGAAGTATGATTCAACGTCCAAAGCATCACCTCAAAAATATATCATGAATAATTATGTGTGATGAATTCCGACAATTTGTTTTCTGGATTGAATCGCATCCAAACTTGATCAAAAATGAATTTATCCGGGGACGTTCCAGTAAAATTATTGAATGATCTTCGATGATGGCCATTTTGTCAACATATTATAAGCATGCATTCCGCTCGATCATTTGTCACTTTACAATTTGCAAACTCAGTCCCAAACTCGCGACTGAATTTAATTTTTTATATTTTGTTTTTTCAGTTGCTGAGCCACGAAGTGGTGGAAATTTGTGGGAAGATCTTGTACCAGGTCGACCTGGGTCGCGGGTCTCGCGACCAGATGTGGGGTTTCAGCGTGGAAGCAGAATTGGCCGAGAACTCAGAGAAACAAGATGAATTGTGTTGCTATGTGTCCCGCGTGGAAGACGGATCGGTCGCAATGCAAAGCGGTAAGTGCCTCTAAACATATATATTTCTTTATATGTGTGCATATTTCTCCGTTACCCTCGTTTGTTTTTGTGCTCGTTCGTTTCGTTTCCTTCCGCCTGTGATCGTCTCCTCTTTAAAAAAAATGAAGAAGAAGAAAAGAGAAAATGAGAAGGTGTATCAGTGTTTTTATTTTTTATTTTTGTGTTTCTTCGGGCGAAACCCCCAAAAAAAATATATGCACCGAAATTGTTGGGAGTATTCGACACACGTAGAGAAAAATCTGAACCGAAATATCATATGAGAGACGCGAGAGAAAAATGGGAATAAAAAAAAAGAGCTTTTGTCTGACGCACAAACTTTCTCCCTTGTCCTTCTTCTTTCACACTTCACCTTCCTCCAATCTGTCCTTTGTTTTAATTTTTTATGGCTTTTATGTTTTACTCATTTTATTTTTGGGCACAAAAAAAAAATATATATTAGGCCTTGACCCTGAATCCAACAGCCTCAGGTTCTGAGGGAGGAAATAAAAAACCCCGGTAGACACTTGAGCACCAGGCGGGAAAAAGGGGTGTTTCTTTTTTTTTTTGAATGAGGGGCATTTTGTCAAGAAATCAATACCTTGCACATAAGCGCAGTAAAAGCAGAAAAACAAAGTTCGGTATTGATGAGAAATCCGAGTTGCTCAAAAAAAAATTCTTCTCAGAATGAATTTATTCAGGATACGAGTGCGTTTCTTTGCCTGAGGATGAGGATGTGGTTTTTAGAATATAAGAGGGAAAGGGGAGAAGAAAAAAGCAGCAGAAATTGATTCTAGAAATTTTTTTCTTTTTTAGTTGTGTACGTTCTCTATTATATAGTCTCTTCAGTTTGGCTATCTTCTCTGCGTGTGTATTATTGTGCCGTTTGTTTGTGATGTGCGTGTGTGTGTATGCTTTTCTGGCAACCCTGGCTTTAAAGCAGAAAAATTTGCGCTCTTGAATTTTGGGATTTTTTTTTTTTGCGAAATGAGGAACGACTTGCGATGAGCAATTTAAAAATACGCGTGATGGCAAGAAATATTGGCAGAAAATAGTGGTCAGAGTTGCCAGAGAGGAATACACACTTTAGGAAGGAAAAAAAATGTACATCTCGAGAATTATTCGCTTTTGAGTTTTTCTTCGTTCGTTCGATTCTACTTTCACCTGGGTCCAAATTGTTTTCCCTCTTTAAAAACTCTTTCGAGTGGGTCTGTCTTCATAGCCAAAAAAAAGAAAGAAGTTTCGTCTTGTTCTTGGATTCTATAGTCGAATACTCCCAAAGGGTTTCGCAGTGCATTTTTGCTAATAGTCGTAGTTTGTGGTGGAGATGATGGAGGAGAAAAGGAAAAGAAAAGAGTGCTCAACACATTGCCCAGGGGGTTTCTTTTTTTGGTGCTCAGACACTGTGCAGAAACATTCCTGTGTCCCCCCGAAATTTTTTTTTTTGAGCCTGAGTGTGTCTGGGTATTACATGAGAAAAGAGAAAAAAAATCAGGACACTGGTTATTTTATTTCACATTTATTTTCCTCTGCCTCTTTCCGCCCTTTCTTTCCCCCCAAACCCCCTTTCCTCGTTTTTTTTTCTTGTTTTTTTTTCTCTGTTTGCAGGATTGATGAAAGGGGATGAGATCATGGTGATCAATGGAGCCATTGTGAGTGACTTGGACATGATGCATATTGAGAGTGTGTTGCAAGAAGAGACTGGGCTTTGCCTGATGATGAGATCTGCCAGGACTTCGCCGCCAGTCACTGGCCTCCTGAGGTCCACTGATGACATCATGAGCCTGGTGTGTCCTCCGCCTCCGTCTGACAACTCCATCCCTGACGAGATGATCTCCAACATGATCGTTCCTGCCCCTACTTGTGAGTTTGGATTTTTTTTAGAGAGAGAAAGAGGAAGAGATTTAATGCCAATTTATTTTATTTTTGCTCTGGTCATCGTCATCGTGAAGACAAGGAATTGGCGGGGATGGGATGCCCGCCCCCTCCTCCACCCCCAGTCAGAGCTGATCTCTCCGGAAGACCACAGAGGACTTCCTCGTTTGAAATTGACAACCTGCTGAAGGTGTGATAAATTATTTTGCACACTCCAATGAGTATAATGATTCGTGCCAGAAAGCGTTCATTTTTTGTCAATTAATTATGAATGAACAGAAAGCTTTATTTTCAGCCTTTCAGCGTTCACAAGGTTCAATATCAACATTCCCACATCCAACCCGAATCCATTTAAATGCATTCAATCCCCCCCCCCCCCCCTGCATGGGAAACAGAGAAAATAAGCTGTATATGGGTACCAAAACAAGTAGTAGAGCGTCCGCAGTGAGGACATAAAAACAAACAAAAAAATTTTTTTTAATTGCAGAAGTGGGATTTGAACAAACACCTGCAGAACCAGACTGTAACCTGAACGCAGCACCTTAGACCACTTGGCCATCCTGACAACTTAATGTTAGTTGATGCATTTTCAAGTAGGCAAATTAATTCAAGGTGCAAAAGGCCACAGACACACGTTACACGACGTCCTTATTATTCCCCCCCCCCCCCCCAGACNCCTTTTTTTCCCCCCCCCCCCCCAGACCCCTGTAGGATCCTACTGGTTGTTCCTCCCACTGCGGACGTTAAAAATGAAATACATTGTACAATGCGCAACTGCACAACTGAAGTTTATATGCAAACATCTCCTTCTTTCCCTGACATTGAAGACAAAATAGCATTAGCAAGAATTGCAGCATAAGCCAGAATAATTGCAATTGCAGCAGTTACTGAACCCAATATAAAGCACAATAGGTCTTATTCAGCCTGTTCCCAGGTGAGGTTTAGTTGAATGAACAATTTAGAGAGAATCTTTGATGAGAAATCATATGAGGTAAAAAGTTTATCTTGATCATCTATGATTTCAGAAAGGGTCTCTTCATTGATATCCAATACTTGTAAATCTTTCTTAAGCTCATTCCTATCGGTATAGAATGTTGGGCAATTAATTATTGTAATGACAATCCGGATTTAGATTTTTTCTTTTTTGAAAAAGAGTATCTCTTAAATTTATACAATGTATTTCTTAAACTTGCAAACGCGAAATGTTTCATTTACAAGAAAAGAATCAAGCAGAATTCGCCCTTTTGGCATGAAAATAAGTCAAAAAGGCAAAAGATGCAAGCATAAAAATATACTATGCACAGTTGATGACAATAATCCTGAGAATAACGGCAAAATTTGCCTTTTTTGAAAAATGAATTGATCCAAATTTGTTTTAAAAAATGTTCTGTTAAGGTATGAAAAGTAGTCCAACAAGCAAAACAATCAAGAATATTACCATTCTTTGCACAGTTGATGAAAATAACTCTTGAAAGAGGACAAATTCAGTACGTTTTGGAAAATTAATCGAAGCAAATTTAAAATAAGAATTTTAAAATGTATTTCCATCTTGGTGTTCTTTATTCAATGTGTTTGAGAGATTTAAAAATGTTGAGCTGATTTGCTGCGTTACGAACCCTACTGCCATTTTTCAGCAGGATTAATTCCCATAAAATGAGATAAAATACATATTTACTATAAAGATTCAATTGGCTAGGTTCAATTTAAGGATAAGATTGTACAGTAATTAGGCAGAAAAAATAGGAAACCTGAAAGTAAAGCTGGAGAACTGCTGGGATTTTTGCACACACACACACACAAAATGAGCTTTTGAATGTATTTTGTATGTCTTATTCCTTTATAGACTGCAGAGCAGATTACGGGCTACTGCAGGACTTCACCAGCAGACATGAACTCAAAGCTTAGTCCCACAGGAAGTGTGTCTTCCTCTGCATTCGGATCATTCCATCATCATGTATCAACACCCACTTCAGCATCTTCGATTAGACAGATGAGTGACTCTGAGAGGATCAGGAAAGTGCTTGTGGAGCTGATTGAAACTGAACGAGCTTATGTCAGAGTAAGTTTTCTAAAGAATTCAACTCTTTCCAATATGCTCTCCAGCAAGGCCCAGAAAGCATTTGCAATTTTTTAAAATTGAATATTATACGTTTTCCTGGGAAAAAGCATAGTCAATTTTGTTGACAAGAAGGTTGCATTTTTTAAATATCTTGAAAATAATTGGCGTTTGTCCTGCGATTTCTTACATTGATTTAATTGCTAGTCTTCTCTTTTGGGTAAAATTGAAGATACAGTACCATCAATGTTTGGCAACATGTACAAAAAAATATTCTCTTTTCTGACCTTTTAGTGTGTTTTTTTTATAGTTGAAGCATGAAAAACTAAGTTATCCATACATAACCTCAGTTCTGAACTCAAGATTTTGCTTAACTTGAGATTTTTATCAAACTAAACACATGACCAAAAATAAAAGCTGAACTATGTAACTCAGCCAAAAGCACAATATCTAACTTTTAGCCGCCCATCTTCAGCAAATATCCAATATTTAAACTAACCCACCTAAATTGAACAAACACTGCACATACTTGACTTTGTAAAGCACAACACTTAATAAGGTTTACTGTACACTTAACATGCCAGCACTGCTGATGCATAACATACCTTAACTAACTAACTAATTGAGGGATGAGCTTTTGAAATACTCTGAGTGATATACTTAACACACCTCACCTGACATTTTCAACTATAATGAAAGACATCTGACATACCCTAATGACACCTAACAGCAATAAACACCTGAACTAACCTGATTACAATAAAAATTGTACAGGAGTACTTTTTCTCCATTATATAGATGTCACTCCAGGTAAGCATTACACTCAAATTGATTCATGCCTGGAAGCTTTCTTTCCTCAACTGCCTGTAACAACAATCCAGATCTGAATTTTGTGTTTTGGAGAAGAGTATTTTGTTCCGACAAAAAATGTATTGCTTCGTTTGATGTAGGATGTTTTTGAATGCCTTTGATCCTTTGAAATCTGGGGATTTTCTCATTTTTTATTTTTTTGCAGAATTTGAACAATCTTTTGTCAAACTATTTGGAGCCTCTGAAGAGTGAAACCTTCCTGAGCACGGCAGAAATAAACGCACTTTTCGGGAACATCACAGAGATAGTTTCCTTCCAGCGAATGTTCCTCAGGTCCTTGGAAGAAGCTGCTAACATTGACGGCGACTTCACCAAGTTCGAGGAGCCGCATCAGTTCAAGGTATAGTCTGTACCTAATGATAACATGAGCTGGAGAAAGTTTCCAGGAGGGGCTTTTTTTTTGCTCAACAGCAGGAAAAACTCAGTGTCTTTATCTCATATATATTCCCTCTTTTTTTTGCTGTATTATATAGAATGCCCTGTTTGCTTTGGGGAACGCGTTTCTCTTCCATGCCAAGAACTTCAAGCTTTATAGCTCTTTCTGCGCCAGCCACTCCAAGGCCCAGAAAGTTTTGCACCCTAGTGAGTCAATGTCGTGTTCGACATCATTTTCTTTTTTTTATATCCCTAGGAATGGGAATGTCATGCTTGGGATTCTTTTTTTTTTGCAGGTGATGGAAACCAGGCATTGCAGAGGTTTTTGGCAGCTAGGAACACCAAGCAGCAGCACTCCAGCAGTCTGGAGTCTTACCTGATCAAGCCCATTCAGAGGATCCTCAAGTATCCCTTGATCCTGCATCAGTTGCGTTCTTTGGTAGATCCTGACTCTGAGGAGCACCAACATTTGGGTGGTGGGTATTTGGAAATGATTCCTGCTCATTGATTTGTGATGCTATGGGTTCACACTATACATGCCTAACATGGATGAATTTTTTGCTGGACCATAAGCATACACATGCAACAGACTTTAATTTATGGATTGATATGAGAGCTTTGTTTGCCACTTGTCAGCATTGCCAAGGTTCCAAAATATTGTTATGTCTATTCAACGCACTCTGGTGCATCAGAAGGAAAAATAATTCACCATGTGCGTTTTAAGACAATATACCATATTTGCTCAAGTACCACGCACCTTTGAGTAAGGCGCGCACAGGGGTTTTTCAGTTGAAAACTTTGAAAAAATCTTATCCCCAAGTAAGACGCGCACCCCAATTTTTAGTGAATCCAAAACCATAAAATTTCAAAAATAAAAACAAAAAATGTGACTTTAGGCATGAATTGAACAAAAATCTGATGCATTTTCAACTTTTTCAATACAAAAATGTTTTCTTGTTTTTTTTGTTCCAAATTTCTCCATTATAATTAAGTATAATGCTAACATAACTTCCTAAAACTTCTTGAAAATTGTGTACCCGCTTATGACGCGCACCCCTTTTTTTCTTCTGAAATTTGGGGAAAAAGGTGGGCGTGGTACTCAAGTAAATACGGTACATCAAGGTATACCTCTTTTTTTATGACAAAAATCAGAGCACAAGGCAATTACTGAGTAAAAATTAGGGTACAATTCAGAAAAATCCACTGTTTCATGAGGCAGAAAAATAATTTTTGCAAAATTCAAGAAAAAGAAGCAGTCTTGTTGAAGAAAATGTTTCAGCAGTAAATTATCTGGAAACAATTTCATGTGGGCTTTTTTGTGAATTAAAAATTTAAGACTGTTTTTTCTGAAGCAGAATTGGTAGCTTTTTCTGGGACATCTGCAAAAAATCCTCATCACGTAGCAATTTTTGGAGTGAATTGTGAAGTTCATCAAATCCATTTTCTTGACATGAGAATAATTTGTGGCTTTAAGAAAATTTAGGAGCATGCAGCAACAGCTGCTTTCCTTTATTTAGGTACTGATACAATGAACAGAATAGTACTTTCAAGTACTAATTTTGGAGCCTCATTTGTTAAATTGATGGGGAATATTGGGTCCATCAAGCATAAAAAAAATGTATTTCTGCTTTCATAAGAATCTTCCAAGTAGTTCTAAACTCCTTTTGGAAGTACAGCATTGATTTTGAGGTGTGACTGTTCTCTGCAGGAACATTTCACAACACATGAAGAAATGACCAATTAGAACAACAAAATTGTTACCCCTGAATTTTCTCAAGCTGTTAAAATGAATAACAAAACCCAAAAGCATTCCTGTAAAATGTTACTAAAGTATAAATACGTCTTGTGATTTTATTATACTGCAGATGAAAAGATGCTGTGATACCCAGAATTGACTGCTTTTGAAATTTCCACAGATGCTCTTGGAGAAATGGAAGGTGTAGCAGAGCACATTAATGAGATGCAAAGAATCCATGAGGAGTATGGAGCAATATTTGACCACCTCTGTAGACAATATAGCAAGCACCCAAACAAATCTACTCAGCCTGTTGATCTCAGCCCAGGGGAGCTGCTGTATTATGGAGGTGTTGAATGGCTCAACATTGCTGATTTCTTGGGAAAAGTGAAAAAGGGGCTTGAGCTTCATGCCATGTGTTTTGTGTTCAAGTCTGCTGTGGTGTTCTTGTGCAAGGAGAGACTCAAGCAAAGGAAAAAGATCATGGTAAATATTTACCTCAGCTTCTGATTCATAGAATTATTTATTTGACAAAATTTTTCTTCTTCAGGGAGGAGCTTCTGGAAAACCTGGAGGCTCTGGTTCTGAAGTAGAAATAATTAGGTACCAAGTCCTTGTTCCTGTGAATGAAGTTCAGGTCAGGTCTTCTTCTCTGAAAGACCAGAGTTCTCAGTTCCTGTGGGAGTTGATTCACTTGAGGTCATCTGCAAACTCTGGTGCTGGCCAGTCTCAGGCAAATCAGAAGCGCAGTGAGAAAGTTTACCATCTCTGTAACAGGTTTGTATGAAGAAACAAGAAAAAACTTTTTACTTATTCCCAAAATCTACTTCATGGTGATAAATTTCTTGTTTCGGTTTTCAGTACTTCAGAATTTAGGAATGCTTTTTTGAGAACCATCCGCCAGATCATCAGGGAAAGTGTGCGCAACATGAGCATACCCTCAGGGCATCTTTCCTTTGGAACCAGAATGCAAGTTGGTAATGCTGCTACTTTATCCAAGAAACTTCAGCTGCAAAGACAACAGCAACAACAGCAGCAGCAACAACAACAGCAACAGCCAATTTATGCAGTTGTTTCTGGTGTGAATCAGCAAATGAATGGCACTCAAACCCTTGGTCCTCCAAGGGGTTCCTCAACAGGGATCCATGGCAGAATCAGACAGAGGCATTCTGCAGGCAACATAGCACAGCCTGCTGACTATGATGAGGACATCTCTCCCATGGCTGGTGTGTAGAATTGTTGCATTGACAAGCAAAATGTCTTTTAACTTTATGGAAGCTCTATAAATCACAAAAAGTAGTGTTACCAGAGTACTATATTCAACAAAGTTCATTCAAGTGCAAGTGTAAAGATCCAAGATTAATTCCCCAGTATTGATAAGCAAGTATGATGATAATGAACACAATACGGTACCTTGCAATTTGACCTCCTGCAATTCATCCATCCCAAAATTTGATTTTCAAGTTTGCTGGGAATTTGACTCACAATTTAACCTCTGCCCTGACATTTGACCTGCTTCAGCCACTTTTCTAGTGTTTTTTGCTGCTCTTCCTTAGTTTGACACAGTGACTTGCAATTCAGCTATTTTTCAATTCGACCTTAGACCAGCAATAAATCAGGGTTGATTTGCACAAGGCACCATCTGTATATGCAGGTAATAAGCACACACACACACACAAAGCTCACTTACTGTGCACATATATTTTCTTTGGTGAGAAACCCATCACTGCTATGCATGAATTTATTTAACCTCTGAAGGTTTCATATTATATATATGCATAAGTTTTGAGGTTCATATTTTTATCATGTGGTAACCGTGTGTCATTCACGTGAGATTCACGTTATATTTCGTGTGAACCACGTACCGTAAAGTAACGGTTTCAGTTTTAAACTTAAAAACAACGACCGTTATAATTATGAAATGAATGCAAAAAATTTCTAAACTGCTTGAGTGTTTAATTTTGTGACATTTTGCATAATTTTCAAATCTGTTTTTGCAGGTTCATCGCCCGCAGTGTCCCCAAGAACTCCAGGAGCAGAGGCCAGCAGGTCTGATGAGGAACCATTAGGTATGGATGATGACAATGAGGATAACTATGATGATGAGAATGGGAAAGCAGACCCTAAGCAGCAGAAGAAAAAGAAGTCTGCCATGTTGGGTAGAACTCCGAACCACTTGAGCTTGAGTTCTACTTCTACCATCTCAGGGAGTGGTTCTAGTGCTGGTGCCACTGCATCAGCTTCTGGACTTGGTGTGCAGCAGCAGCAGCAAAGTCTGCCATGTTGGGTAGAACTCCGAACCACTTGAGCTTGAGTTCTACTTCTACCATCTCAGGGAGTGGTTCTAGTGCTGGTGCCACTGCATCAGCTTCTGGACTTGGTGTCGTCGTCGTCGTCGTAGTCGTCGTCTAAGGTCTCTAGGTCGTTGGAGGACGTTCCGACTATGTTAGGTCACGGTGTAGGATGGTAGGAGGAAACGGAGGGTTTGGAAATCCATTATAAAGGAGATTTCATTTCTACACATTCTAGTTTGAGTACCATGTACAGCAGGTACAGTATTAAGGATTCAAAGATTGTGTATGCGTTATGTGCAAGTACTGTACAAAGGTTTATATAGTATTTTTGAATTTTTTTGTATTTCTTGATCAAATTGCTCTAATACTCAATCACACCAATTTTCTAACAAAGATTCTGTGAAGTAAAAAGCAGCTGAGGTGAATTTATGGATCTAGTCTGAAGCAAAGGATTAATGCATGTGATTTTTCACTTGCTTTGGTGCTAAAGTCACTAACAAACTGAAAATAAACAAATGCTGTATTAGGGGGAAATTACTGAATGAATCTTTCATTGGAGTCAACATTTCTTCAGATCTTTTGCTTTTTGGAATTGGGATGAAATGGGGTATATTTATTACCCATGGATAGGTTTTCCTCAAATTTCATTTCAAATTTTCCAAAATTCTTGTGCACGTAACCCTTGGAAAACGTATAGATAAAACATTTGAAAGTAAAGCAACTTGAATGCGGTTGATTTGTCCTTTTATTCAGATTTAAATGAATGATTTCAACTGTCAAAATTCTAAAGTTGGAAAAATTCTTTCAATGAGAATTCCATTTCTTCATATTTTGCAGATATGAGCTTTTACCTAAATACAGCATGAAACTTTAAAAATACAGTGTATTTCTTGTGTGAGAGTACATGGTATTTTATTGAATATGGTACAAGTTGCCTCTTGATATCTCAAACCTGACTATGTGTCAAATTTTTGTCAAGTCCCTGGCTAAATTTCCTCATTGAAAAAATGCATAAAAACTTCCTTAACTGAAAGGCTTTCCACTCAAACCCTCAATAATTCAAAACTCTTGAAGGCATTTTGGCTATTATTTTTGTAGTTCAGTGGAGGGAAAAACAATAAAAGTGTAACTTGATGCTTTTTGAGAGGAAATGAAAGAATAATTCTGCCAATTAATGAACTCATCATGGCTCCAAGTTCAGCATCCTGAAGTCAACTTATTTTCAAGGCAAGAAGTGGTAGTTCCCCTAATGCAAAACCACCCTGAGTCAATTTCTTGCTGGTCCCTTGGAATTTATGGCTGAAACATGTTTCACTGTATATTTTTGAAAACAGGTTCCCCAGTGTGGAAGCCCAGGGATGGAGCAGAGGCATTCCCAATGCCCCCAGCAGGAAGCCAGCAGCACTTGCAGCCAACCACCAGCAGTCCATACTTGTCCCCCAACCCATCAACCCCTGCTTCAGTTTCACCAGCCACAGGCTCACCCAGCAAGCAACCCGCAGGCAAAGGACCCAAACCTGCTCCTCCACCTCAAAAGCCATCTCTCAGTAAGAAGATCCTGGGAAAAAGCAGTTGAAGGCACTAACACTTGAGCATTATTGTTTTCCCCTTACATCCTCTCCTTGGGCATTTGGTTTGTTTGTTTGTTTGTTTGTTGATGCATGGACTTGCTGTGAAAGCTCACCCAGGAAGAAGGAAAACCAAAAAGAGATGGGAAAAAATGTTAGTGAGTTAGTTGTTGCAAGCAGGGAAATTTGTGTTCATAGGTATATGTTGATTTAACCTGCAGCTATGCTTTTCTTTTTTTCTGGAGGACTTTCTTCTGCTCAGCAAAAATTGGGAGGTTCTTTCCAGAGCTTCCAACAGGTGGGCATTAGAACAGCAGTTACCATGAGCAGCTTTCCAGGGTTTTAGAGCATTGTAGGGATCCCCATTTTTTTGTGTGCCAAAAAAAGCGGAGGATCCACTCCATATCAAGTACCTGGAGGTTTTAAAAGAGATAAGAACTGGCTTCAAATCCTGCTCATTCTTTGCACTCCCACTTCCAGCGACAAAAAAGGGGATTTTAAGGTGCTCAAAAAGAGAAGAAAAGACAAAAAACAAATGGATTCTCATTGTCGTTTCGTTGCTTAGGAATGCAGAGTGATCTGACACAAGTATTCAGATTGATTGCTGGATATCTTGAGCGAAAGGGAGTTCTTTTCAATTTTTTTTTTGTGAGGTGGTTAATTATAGAAAGAAAAAAATTGTTGGCAGAATGTTGAACTTCCCTGCAGGGCATTTTTTTTGAAGCTTTCACCGAAACTTTGGCTGGGGTTTTCTTTGGCGAAACTGAAAAACTCTGCTCTGTGGGCTGGAATTTCAGCTGGACGAAAATGTTTTTGAAGTCAGAATCTGCAATAAGACGTATTTTATTTTGCACGATTTTTGTTGAACTCTTTTTTTTTTTTTTACAAGACACTCCGTTTCCACGTTGCATTCCTATGTTTCCTGTGATTCCGACGTTGGTTTTATAAAATCCGGAGGATGAGATTTCAGACATTCAAAAATTTTTGGGGCTGGGGAGACTGAGTTTTCTCACCGAAGCTGCTCAATGTGGATTGTTTCGAAGAATGCGAGGTTTTCGGTTGTCAAAAAGGAAGAAAAAAAATATTTGGAGATCCGGAAAATTTTTTTGTGGGGCTTCAAACACGCACTTTGCCTTGGTCCTCGTAAAAAAACGTTAGAAGCTTTTTTTTTCAAAAAAAAAAAAAGATTGGTTTCTTTTTGTTAGTGTTTAGGATGCGTGTTGTTTCTGAACGCATGTGGTTTTTCCCCTCGCGGATTTAAAGAAAAATGGCGACGACGAGAGCAATGATACGATGAAAGGAATGCGAAAATAAAATTCCACCGGGTTTTCCTTTGTGCTAACGTGTGGTTTTTGACACTAACCGGAATGAGTTTTTTCCCTGGGTGATCATAAATTTGCTACTAATCTTCCTGTTCATATTTCAGGCAGTTTTGAACATTTCCAAGTGCCCTTTGTCACAAAGGAAGCTGAGGCAATGAGAAAATCAGCTAAAGTTTAAAAAGCTTGTTAGGCTTTCAAAACAAATGAAAAAATAAAATACAAAATAATATCTGAGTAACCTCAGCGTGAAAGAATTTAATATATATTTCTTTGCGAATTGAATAGCCTTTTCTTTGCATGGAACTAAAAATTAAAGGTTGGTCACTTGAATTTTGTTGTAGAGAGTCAATGTGTAAAATGTTAAACTAGTCTGTTTTTTCAGCGCATATCATTCATTTGGACTATTATTCCAACACAATATGCAAGAAAAAAATGAGAACAACTGCATTAGTGACAAAAACTTCCAAAAAGACTTCAACAAACAATTATTTTTCAATTAATGTGCTATAGAAACAACTACTGCTGTACACTTGTCAAGGAAAATATTAAACTCTGTTGTTCAAAAGGCATTCAATTGCTTTCAATGCTCATTTTCCAACAGTAAGTTGTACAATTCACGCATTAAATCCCAAATTTTGTTTTATACTGTACTTGAAAGAGAAAAAGAGGAATTTTCGGTATTAAGTACTGATGGGTCTAAAGACCGTGACCTCTTTAAAATAAAAACAGGATATTTTATTTACTTTCCTAAGTTCGGTTAGTTATACATGGTAACTTAACTCTTTGTATTCCTCGGTTTTTAAACTAATCTTGCAAAAGGATTCCCTTTGAAATTTGTGCCTAGTGTGTTGAGCACATTCTCGGGGTGATTCCGGAATTTTTTTTAAACCTGTATTACTTTTCTTTGAAGTACATTTTTCCTTCACTAGTAAACCGATCAAGCTGTGCTCTTTTCCTAATGTCATTTATATTTGTTATTCGTCAGGGAAATCTTACAGGAACGAGGTTGTGGTGCACATAAACCCTGGGGTTGTGGAGTTTGACGTCTGATTCAGGAGATCAGGACCAAAGACGAAGCTTTGAGCTTGTTTGGAAATTTTTTGATTTGGATTTGTTTGAGCCTGATGATTGCGGCTCTTTGATATTTTGGACAATTCGCAGTTGACACGTTGGATGGGGAAAAAATTGGCATTTTGTGATTACTCTTGAGTTCTTCTATATTGTACTGCATTGTGCTGTTTTTGTTTCACGTGCAACGTCAATATCACACAACGTCTCCGTGTCACATTCTGCTGTTATCATATGTTTAGTGTTGTTTATTTATTCTAGAAGTCGATCGATAGGAAGACTTGAAACTGAAGCGACGTCTGATGTGCAAAAGTAATTTTTTTTTTGCCAAGATCTTCAATCATCGGTAAATAGGCTAACACTGTATCCAAACATAAAATTTTAGTATCGGAATAAATTGTTCAGCAGATCAATCAAATCAATTCATTATTTATGTAGTACATAATTGTGAGAAATGATGTCCTCACTGTTTATTATATTGTTTATTCATTTAAAAGTCAATCAAGGGGCGCGTAAAAGACCTCAGAGCTAAAGAGAAGTCTCAGATGCAAAAGTAATTTCGTTTGCCGGGATGCTGTTCATATTGTTCAAAAAATAATTGGATAACACTGTATTTGAGCATAGGATGCTTGCTTCAACATGCTTCACACAGATGTCGCCCAAATTTTCAAGATTTTATTCGCAGATGGATGAACAAGCTTCATTTGCCACTTGTCAGTTGTCACCATTCACAAGATTCAAAAATTGTTTCCCAGCATATCCTATTATCCAACCCCTCCCTTTTTTTCTCTACAATCACAATCAAAAAAATTCCAGCGGATCAGAACAGAAAAAGGAAAGTTAAAATAATGTGCTGTATGAGTATTAAAAGAAAATGCATCACAGAACACACCATTACATGAATAATACAAAAAAAATGATTTGCCTCTTTTCATAGATGACACCAAGAAAATATCAGTAGTAAAAATCACAGCTCAAGGTAATTACTGAGCACAAATTAGAGCACAAGGTGTTCAGCCTGTTCCCATATAACTTTGAATTGATTAACACTTGGATGGCAGAGGGTTCCTGGCTGTCCTGAGGCAAAGTCAGGATTGGGGGGGGGGGGGTTGCACATTTCAGTTTGACCAAAGGTCACTGACATTTGCCCAGGTTGGGAAGGTCGATGTTGGGAAAAATCTGGAAATAAGGGTGAATCATTTGGTCTTCCAGAGGAATTCCTGAAAAAAGCCACCCAGTGGAGATTTTTTCAGCAAATTTTTCTGAAGGATTATAACAAAGTATTGGACTTCTTCCTGAGATCCTGACTTAGGCATTGGTGCAAAAATTGGATTTTTAATTATCAGTGTTCATTGGCAAAAAAAATTGCAAAGATATCCCAACTGTGCTGCCCACGGGTTGAACAATTTGGAGAGAATCTTTGAGGAGATATCAAATACAGCTATCAGTTTAACTCAGTCCTCTTGTAAGGAATGATTTAGTAAAATTTAAGTAGAATATGATTTAGAAATAAATGTGACGCACAATTTGGTTGGGCTATAACTGGGGTGAAATTTCACCCTATTTTAAGGTTGTCGTATTTCAAGAACACAGTCAACACACACAGTATTCACAAAAAGGCTGGAGTGTCTTGTATGAGAGCTCAGAGAAGAGTGTAGATTTTGGATAGAGTAGGAATCAGGAAAACTGTCCTTCAAGGACAAACAACAGCTTTAGGATTTAGCAATAAAAAAGGTCCTTGGAGGCTTTTGGGAAAAAATGGGTGTGTGAACTGGGGTTTTTCCCAGTTCACACAAAGATGTACAAGGACAAATTTTTCTGAGAATTCGGATTCTTGAGTTCATTGTTCAGTGTAACAAATTATACTCTTCTGTTTATTTTTGCAACGCTTCTTAAGATTTGGTAAAGGACCTTTTTGTCAAGAGCTGTTACTAAAATCCCAAGTCTTTTTTACTTATTTGTCCAATTTTTTTGTTCAGTCCATTAACCTGGGTAGCACTGAACTTTCTTTCCCTTATCTTCACCCACATTTGTCCTCGAAAAAGGAAAATTGGCAGTAAACTTGCTAAACCTTGTTTAGAAGCGGAAAATCGCTCTTTGGAACAACAGGTTCCTGTGAAGCATCCCTAACGATGGTCGTTGGGGCGAAACGCGGATCCGTTTGCCCCAGTAAGCGCAGACAAAAATATATCACAGAGCCACTGAATTCTTCTCAATCTCCTTGTTTGTTATTGTTGTCTTTTCTCTCGGCTGAGAGAAAAGCAGGCGAATACGAAAAGAGAAAGAAGAATGATGATGATAAAATTTAAAATGAATAAAAAAAAAAACCTCGCATCCGAGAACACACCTGAAAGAAAGGAAAAACCAGATCCTCGAGAGCTTTCACTCCTACCAACGGGCCTTTTTTTTTTTTTTTTTTTTTTTTTTTTTTTTTAGATGAAAAAATTAAAAAAAAAAAAAAAAAAAAACCTCGCATCCGAGAACACACCTGAAAGAAAGGAAAAACCAGATCCTCGAGAGCTTTCACTCCTACCAACGGGCCTTTTTTTTTTCTTCTTTTTTTTTTTGCCTGCTATATACGAAGTCGCGTGCCACTTTGCAAATTGGAATTGAAACGGCCTGAAAAGCGCAGAGGGTGCGATTGAGCACCTGCGGCAAAGGAATTTCAGAAAGCGCGGAATATTTTTTGCAGATTATTGAGAGCTTTCTGTGATTATTTTTTTTTACAAAACGGCGAGAAGAAAATTTAAAAAGACACAAAATTAGAATTAAATGCTAAAAGTCAATTTTTATGAATTTAATTTTTCATGTATGCATATGCCCAGGAAATTTATGAAGAATCTCTGAAACCCAATTTTTCCTTGTTTTTTTTCAGCATAAACAACATGGGCAACCAAGAGGACTGTCCTAGTTCCACGCACCCTCAAATGACCCATACGAATCAGAATCAGGTAAAAACTCGTAAGAAATTGAATAAATGCCTCATAGTTGTTATGATGTTCTAAAAATGTGTTCCCAAAAATGACTTAGATGAAGAGAACAATTCCAAAGCAGTTATCATGTCCTAGTTCTAAACGGCCTTGCTGATGAACAATTTTTGAAAAATTTATCATACTTGTTTTTTCTTAATTTTCTTCAGATTTCATCTGTGTTTTTGGAACACATTTCTTTTTTTTGTCAACGTGAGAGGCGCGTAGAAGAGGGACAGGAAAACAAGATTTTCTTATACAGTACCATTTTGATTTTCTTCTTGACCACTGAAAATAAAGAATCTGAAAATGTCGCAATGGTTGTTCCTGGCTAAATGTCATTCAAATTTCATAAGAGGGCGCGTGGAAATGAGACAGCCTATTAGTTCCTCCCTTGTCAACTACCAAGGTAAAAGAATTTTTGAAGTTCTTCCTTTCAATTTTCATTTCTAAATTGAATGTTATGTAATTAAATTGTTTGAAGCTCATCCCTTCTCAAAAAAGGTAAAATAATATTCGATTTTTTCATGTGCTTATTCTTTCCAATTTTCAGTTTTCACTTAAATGTCACGTAATTAAATTCGTTGGACATTTCAAACACAAAAGCTTAAACATTTCAGGCAAAATTAGTGTTTTAAAATGTGTTCGTTTTTGGTGTACCCTGTATATATCATTTTTCATTAATTTGGCTGATTAAAATTATTTGTTAGTAAAATTATTTATTTAAAATGTGTTCGTTTTTGGTGTACCCTGTATATATCATTTTTCATTAATTTGGCTGATTAAAATTATTTGAAGCAGACAGATAGGATTTCGTTCAGCAGTACAAAATCAACAAAATTTTGTGGAAACTCCCAAATGCATTAGCTGTGACCGAGACAGTGATTCACTAGTAGACAATGGACTTCAGTGACGCGGTTGGATTCCTTCATTTTCACTCCCATTCATCCTTCTTCTAAAAAGGACACCATTATTTTTCCTATGATTGCCTAGACTTCATCCGATATTCAATCAGGTGTTCATTTTGTTGGTGTCAAATCAAGAATATACATAATTCGCTTGTACAAAAAAAAACTCGCAGCAACCAAAAAGAAACATTAATTTAGCTCCGTGTGGTCGAGCGACTGTCACGGAAAGTTGAGTATACTCGGTTTCACTTGCAGTTCAATGGCGCGTGATGTACGAGGTGAGTATTTTTCTGTGGTTTTGCCACCAAAACCAGAGGATTTCGGCTCAGTTCGTGACCAACTACAGCCCAGTGATGGAAACTAGGGCCTAAATAACCTAATAGCCGAAAACCTAACTTAGCTCGAGGAGAAAGGCAGTTGTAAACAGTTCACTTAACTTTAAAACAAGGTAAAGTTCGGTACTTCTACAAAAGGTTAAAAGTTGCTGGATTGGTGACAGTCTTCAATTGTCTCAGTGAATTATCTAAAATTGGGTTGTAAAATTTTATTTTTAGTCACTGCATAAATGGAAAATATCAGATTGGTCTTGGAGTGAAATATTTCTCTAACAAATTAAAAACATTAAAAGGGCTGTCCCAGTTCCACGCGGCATACAATTGTGCAAAGAGGTTGCAAAAGTCCAGCAAATCGAATTCTTATTTTCGACATTTATGTGATTTTTTGCATTTTCAACATTTGGAAGTAAACTACGAAAAACGAGTGTGGGAAACAAATTCTCATCCATTAAGCAGTAACTTCATAAATGTTCAAAAAATCTGAAAAAGTACTTGGTCTTAAAAAAAATGATGTCCACATCAGTTGAATGGCCTTCCATAAGATTTATCGATCTGACACATTCAGAAAAGTCCTTCTAATAAAATTGCTTGGCGAAAAATTCGTAAATGCGACTTGGATTTACAGGAAAAAATAATCGCCCATTTCCAAGNTTGATCCCGGATTTATTGGATTATCGGCTTTTGGATTGAATCGAGCTCCTCTTTCCGTCAACATTTGTCAAGTGAATTGAAATTTTGTTCCATTTCAAGCCATGAAGATGTTTTCCAATTTTCAACGAGGATTGGTGACGTCTTCAATTGTCTCAGTGAATTATCTAAAATTGGGTTGTATAATTTTATTTTTAGTCACTGCATAAATGGAAAATCAGATTGGTCTTGGAGTGAAATATTTCTCTAAC